ACGTTTACTGACACAGTCTGTATCTGCTGTTAATAACCAAAGTCAAAGTCAAATCTAAACACCAGAGATTGTGTAAAAGATACACACAGTGACATAAACCCTCTGATAAGTAAAGTTCCTGTGAAGTCTCAAGCTGAACATGAAAAGAAACGCTGAAACTTTCTAGCCTGATTAACAGCTGAAATCACAGAAGAATCTGAGAAGACAACTGTACCTTTACTTTGTTGCTTAGTGTATATTATTTTTCTATGCCAGGGATTCAGAAATGCAGATAATAAAAGAAACACAGATTCCTACTGCTATGCTTGCTTGGGGAGCAGATTAAATTGATTGAAATGTCGGGATTAATGTGAAAAAGCACAAAATCACACTGATGACCAGGTAACTTCAAGACTTTGTTACCAAAACAAACTTGAAACAAAGACGCCCACCACCAAAATTAATATTTGCACAGATTAATTTTGTGTTCTGACTGTTCGCAAACTGAATTATCCCAGTGACAGGACAGACTGAAGTGAAAACAGGTGAAAGCTTTTTTGTTTTTGTTTTAATATTCCATCCATCCATCCATCTTCATCCGCTTTATCCGGGGCCGGGTCGCGGGGGCAGCAGCCTAAGCAAAGAGTTTTAATATTATGTTGCTGTTTTTCTTTAGAGTGATCCAGAGTAAAAATCCAGCGTTTCCTGTGGGAAGTCATGTTGTGAGTAACAGTGGGTGGAGAACCCACACACTCAGTGATGGGACCGGCCTCACTCCCATCCTGCCCGAGTGGCCTAAAGATGTGTCCCTGTCTCTGGCTCTGGGTGCCATCGGGATGCCCGGGTAAGACAGATTTAAGTAACTTGCATGGATCAAAGTCATTTTCTATTGGATGTTAAATCGTGGCAGGATGTTCTGACTTTTCCAGCAGATAGATCGATGTGAAGTTTTATCAGCTGAATCTTAAAAGTAAACTAAACCATCTGAGACATTCAGAGTAAGTAATGAGCAGAAAATAGTTTTATTTTAAGAATATACGTAAGTGGCTAACTCCAGATGTTTTGGTAATGAGCTGAAGCAGAGTTTGTAAGCAGTGATTTTTGTGGATATATTTAATATGGCAATCAAAGAGGCAACAGCTGGATGTACCGTTTCTGCAGACTGACGGCTGTTTATGGGATAGAAGAAGTGTTGGGTCTAAAGGAGGGCGAGACCCTGCTGGTGAACGCTGCAGCTGGAGCGGTGGGCTCCGTGGTGGGACAGATCGCAAAGATCAAGGGTTGTAAGGTGGTGGGCTCGGCAGGCTCTGATGCCAAGGTGGTTTACCTCAAAGAGCTGGGATTTGATGAGGTCTTCAACTACAAAACTGTGGGTTCCCTGGAGGAGGCTCTGAGGAAGGCTTCACCTGAAGGATACGATTGCTTCTTTGAAAACGTGAGCAGTGGTGGTGCAGTTTCAAGCTTGCATGTAATATTTAATCATTGCTCTACTCTTCTCTTGCATTCACACTGCATTCCTCACAACATGTTATGATGTATGTAAGTGACACTGCTGCTTGGTTTTAGGTGGGAGGCCCTTCGTCAGATGTCGTCCTGCAGCAGATGAAGAAATTTGGAAGAATAGCTGTGTGTGGAAGTATCTCCACCTACAATGACAGCCAACCCCAGACAGGTTTCTTACTGCCCTAACTTACTTTTTATTTTAAAAACTCCTGAGAGTTTTGTTCCTGCTAGGGAACAACCAGGGTTAGTGCACAGACATGACCACCAGGCAGACCACCACATCTGTCTAGCACCCTCAAAACCCTCTTATTGGTTTTTGGTGACCGAAAAGCTCACCCTGATTGGTCAAGGGCGGAGTCCTTCCAGGACATGAACTCTCGCACATGAGGATGATGGGTGTAAGGCAGGGGTAGGCAACTCCAGGCCTCGAGTGCCGGTGTCCTGCAGGTTTTAGATGTGTCCTTGATCCAACACATTTGATTTAAATGGCTAAATGACCTCCTCAACATGTCTTGAAGTTCTCCACAGGCTGGTAATGAACTAATCATTTGATTCAGGTGGGTTGACACAGGATGATATCTAAAACCTGCAGGACACCGGCCCTCGAGGCCTGGAGTTGCCTACCCCTGGCGTAAGGTGACTCCCGGAAACAGATTAAAAACAGGTT